GGTGGTTGCCATTGACTTCCATAGTATTCTTTTCCTACAAGAATCCTAGCAGACATAGTCGGCTGAACGTACAGTATCAGTTCTCTTAAAGTGACAGCACTTTCTTAATGTTAATCAAACAGCAACAACATGGATATCACTCACTGCTCTTGACTGAATAATAAACATAGCACATACTGAACCGTACCGAAACCGTGACTCTAAAACCGTGTAACAAACCGAACCGTAAGCAAGCTGAACCGTTGCACCCCTAGTAACAATCTTACCTGGTTTGGATCTACCATCACATCTCTGTAGTTGCACTAGCCAATATGGCAGTCATTTTGGACTTAAACTGACACCTAGTGGTTTGGATGCAGCATCACACACAAACGTTTCAGTTAATAAACCATTGCAGAAATGAATGCATCATTCTCACTTGTCCATTAATTTTATGGCATCATGCAGTGTCAATTCTGTTACCATTTTAAATGTAATTTTAAACAATTATTTGTCAATTATTCACACACACACGCACACACACACACATATACATATATTAATTTATAAAAAAAAAAAAAACTCCCCAGAAAAAAGGGCACTTTCTCTCAAGGAAGAAAAAGGGCAGGCGCTCAAGCCCCCTTTGATGTCTATGTGTGCACGTGCCTGAAAAGGATAGACAAAAATACCAAAACACAAGGTAGAAAATAGTCGTAAAATAATAAATTACATAGCCTGAGCTGGCACAATGCAATTTCTTGCTATTTTAAGGTGTCTTCATTTTATGGATATTTAAAAATGGTTCATTAAACTTATTTTATTTTATTTATTTTTTCATGTTATAGTACATTATTTCAAACAACTAAATTCATGAATCCTAAATCCGAAACGTTAATCCATTTTCCCCCTTATTGTTTGTTTTAATGAGGGAAAAAGTACTCCCTTTGCCTGACCGTGGTTGTTACCATGCATCACTGGGATGGAGAACAGGATGTAGATGACAGCTATGTTTGTGCATTTTTCATATTTCATATGGTTGTTCCACTGTTCTGCTTTCAGAATGAATGATCAGAAACAATTGTTCACAATTTGTTATATTGTTCATGTGTACTTGTATATAAATATACAAGTAACTGCAGTAACAATTTGTTTTCTTCAGGAGTTTTTCACTGTAACATGCACATACAATAACTACTGTAATATTATATATATATATACATATATGTATATAGACTGAAATTTTATATTCACGGTTTAAGCACAATCGCTCTGTAACCACTGTATACAATGCCTTGAGAATGTATTCATACTACTTAATTTTTTTCACATTTTGGTTTTGTTGCTGCCTTATGTTAAACTGCTTTAAATTAATTTATTTTCCACAACAATCTACACTCCATACACCATAACTCTCAAGCAAAAAACAGGTTTTTAACATCTTTGCAAATTTATTAAAAATAAAAAACTAAAATGATTCCATTGAATTCCATTCTATCTGGGACAGTTGAAATTTAGCTCAGGAGCAATCGTTTTGCTTGTAGATGTCACTACACTTCAAGCGAAGTTAACCTGTGGCAAATTCAATTGAATGGGTATGATTTGGAAAGGCGCACACGTCTTAATAAAAGGTCTAACAGCTGATAATGCATATGAGAGCAAAAACCAAGCCCTGATGTCAAACGAACTGCCTGTAGAGCTCAGAAACAGGTTTGTGTCAAACCACACATCTGGGGAAGAGATCAGAAAAAAAATCTGCCTCATTGAAGGGTCATAGAAGCATGTAGTCTCTGTTACCCTTAATGGAAGAAGTTTGAAACAACCAGGACTCTTCCTAGAGCTGGCCTCCTGGCCAAACTGAGCAATTGATGGAGAAGAGCTCTGGTTAGCATGGTGACCAAGAACCTGATGGTCACTCTAGTTGAGCTCCATGATCATATGTGGAGACAAACATCGCTGCAACACTCCACCAATCCAGTCGTTATGGCGGTGTGGCCAAACTCAATCCTCTCCTCAGTTAAGACACATGAAAACACACTTGGAACCAGCTCCGCTCATCACCTGCAGAGTACCATCCCAAAAGTAAAGTGTGCTGGCAGCAGCCTCATGCTGTGGAGCTGTTTTTCATCAGCAGGGACTGAGGGACTCGTTAGAGTAGAAGAAACGCTCGGTGCAGCAAAATATAGAGATAGCCTTAATGAAAACCTAGTCCAGAGCATTCAGAACCTCAGACTGGGCAGAAGGTTCACCTTCCAACAGGACAATGACCCTAAGCACACAGCAAGAGTGGCTTATAGACAACT